AATAAAGTCATTCAAATTCCATCATAACAGAATTACTTTCAGTTTTGTGAATTTCCTCCCAGGTCTTACAATGTTTTTATTATTGCAATCCCCATGCAGATAGTACCTCGTATATTTTTTAAAAGATTTGATATTTATAACTAATATTTCCTCATGCTTCTGCTATAGTCTTCATAATGATTTTCAATGGCTGAACAATATTCAACAAGTGGATGTACCAAAATTTCCTAAGCCACTGCTATTCAACATTTCCATTATTCCTATATTTTGTATTTATACCTAATGCTCTTATGTATCTTTTTGGGCATATAATATTTAATTTCTGTTGGATTATAGCCCTAGGATAAATCTAGATTTGAAGTTACTCAGTCAAAAGACACAGTTTTATGATTGGATCAAGTTTTGTCAATTGCTTGCTAAAAACATAATGCCAATTAATAAAGTGTATTAGTTATCTATTGCTGCATAACAAGTTACCACAACACCAAGCGGCTTACTGCAACACATGTTTATTGCCTCGCTGTTTCTGTGAGTCAGGAATGCAGGCATAGTTTAGCTGCTTCTCTGCGTTAGGGGCTCTCACTGACTGCAATGAAGGTGTTGGCTGAGGCTGGGACCTTGTCTGAAAGCTGGATGGGGGAAAGAGTCTCGCCCAAGCTCACGTGGTTGTTGGCAGGATTCAGTTCCTTGTGGCCTGTTGGACAGAGGGCCTCAGCTCTTAGCTGGCTGTTGGTCAGAGGCCACCTTTAGTTCCTTGTGACATGGGCCTCTCCAACATGGCAACATGCTTCAAGACAAAACACATAAAGCCGAGAAGACAATAGAGTCTGCTCAGAAGACCGAAGTCACCATATTTTGTAACGTAATCACAGAAATGACATCCCTTAATGTTACCGTATTCTATTGTTTAGAACCGAGAGGAGCAAGGGAAGTGGTTTATTACCCGAAGCCAAGAACACTAGGATCGGGGATCACTGCGGGCCACCTCAGAGGCTGCCCAACACAAATACCACCAACAGCACACCTTTGTAGCAGTTTTACCACACTCTTACCAACACAACGTTTTAGCATTTAAAAATTACTAGTACAGTAGGAGTGAGGACCATCTCCCACGTCAGTGCCCAGTATCTCCCCCTAGAGCCACCTGGGTCCTCTGCTCTCAGTTGCCAAGTAATTAAGTAGTTTCCCAAAGATGTCAACTGATAGATAGTAACCTGAACTGCCCCAAGTGGGGATTCGGAAAGCTTTAAAGTAAAGCTGTATTAGGCAGCAGTGAGTTCTCTGGGAGGGTTCCAGTCTCAAGCAATTGCTGTATTTGGGCAGCAACTCTAAGACCTGAACACTTTATACCATTTAAAAGCACTGAAATTTAGGAAATCAATCTTTCTTTAAAGCCTACTATACACCCTCACCAGGCTCCACATTTTGCAAACTTTCTCTCACTTTCACTGTCAAAACAATGCTATAAGATACCTGTGAATGTCCCCATTTTATAGATAGGAAACTCAGGACCAGAGGTGTGAAATAATTTATTCAAGATTGCTTTTCCAGAGTGGTAGGGCCAGGATTTGAACCCACAGCTGGCTGCCCACTCTGCTCCCTCCCTGCCTCCTAAGGCCCCTTTGTCCTCAGCTGGTGCCTCCTAGAGCTGCATGACACTCTGCCCTCTGCCCCATTCCCACCTCAGCACTAAGCATGACAGGCGGGGTGCCCCTTCCTCTTCAGTGAGATGGAAGGGTCTCCCTGGAAGTTCTGCTCAGTGACCATTTCTTCCCAATAAAACAAGCGAGCATGAAGTCACCTCTAACCCAGCAAGGGAAGGGCTGTAGAATCCACAGTAAAAGTTTGCATCATGAAACCCTCAGCATAAATAGGCCAGTATAAATTTAGTATTTTCAGAATGAAATCTGGAGCCAGACTGCCAGCTTCAAATCCTTGTTCTGCCACTTACAAAGCTTTATGATTTAGGACAAATTTCTTCACCTTTCTGTGCTCTTTCCTTGCCTGTAAAACTGAAATAATAATATCACCAACTATGTGCCCCAACTGGGGATAAACGAAAAAGTCTCTAAGAACTAGCACAGAGTGGTGCCTAATAAAGGCCCCATTACATTACTTGGGGGACGTGGTGGGCAGGAGACAAGCAGGGCTCACTGGGCAGCAACCTGTGCATCCCTCTGGGACTCAGCCTGTGATCTATGCACACATGGGGATCAGGTTCTGCATGTGTGTGCCCAGCTCCAGGCAAGGCTGAGTGGGGTCCTGCATCGTGGACACTGGTGGGGACAGAGGCAGTAGGGCCAGCTAGGGTCAGAGCCAATGCCAGAGCCATGACGCTGGGACTCCCTTCCCCATAATCAGGCTGTGTCCAAATGGGCACGTGCATATGTGGGGGTTGAAGGGGAGGTCTTTGTGTGTTGACGTACCTCTCTGTAGGTCAGCCTGGTTCTGGGTCTGTGCACGACTGCTCTGGTGTATTGGGCATCGCTGTACATTTATACCCAGAAAACCATGAACTTAGGATGGGGGGAAGCAGGGCCCAAGTCAGTAGAACAATGTTCTCCAGGGATCCGGGGCTGAGGCCTGATGATTGCGGCACACAGTGGGCTGTGAGAAGGAAAGATGCAGGGTAACATTTACACAGTAACTTCCTGCCACCTGGCTCACCTGCAAAGCCCTCGAGCATGTTTCTTAACCTTTCTGGGATCAACCCCTAAATCTATGTGTAGGGGTACATTATATCACAAAATCCTCCTGCTGCCCTGGGTAGTAATCTGTGCCCTACAGGAAGTGACCCAGAAGTGTCCTGGTTTCCTCACTGAAGTCAGCATTTGTAGATCGGGGCCAAGCCCTGCCCTTGGAAAGTCCTGAGGTAGGGAAGATAGGACAGGGTCAGATGGGTTTCACAGTGGCTTCATCCAGGGCAACCAGCCAGCCTTACTGTAATTGCTGAGATTTTAGGGAGCTGGGGCTGTGTCTGCTGTAGCTTAGAGCCTTGTTCATTTATTAAAAAATATGCAGAGCCTCAGTCCAGAGCTGTAAACAAAACACACAATTCTACCACTGTAGATATTACTTTTCAGCAGAGTTAAACCATTAAGTCCACCACATCTCGAATACAGTTAGCAGCCAGGAAGAGGTTTAGGGTACACAACAGTACATAAATGGGGTCTGACAAGAGATGGCGGAGGTCCCTTAGGTGGAGTGACGCTAGAGGGGCCAGGTCCCTGAGTATTCCTGCAGCAGAAGCACTAAATAACTGAGCAAAAGGCAGACCGGAAACAGTGTCCCAGAGCAAGGACACAAAGAACACAACGCCTACCTGGAGAAAGAGGGGAGAGCAGTTAAGGAACCGAAATGCAGGTGAGGTTAGGATGCGCAGAGCGGGGAGAAGTGGGATACCGGATGGGTGGGAGACAGAGCTTTAGCCAGAAAGCAAGGGGATGTCCCTAAAGGGTTTTAAGCAGGAGAGTGAGCCAGTCAGACCTACACTTCCAAGAGCTGGGAGAGCTGGGAGAAAAGCCAGGAGGCCCACGGAGATGAAGAAAAGGGGATGGAGCAGGAAGGGCAAGGCTGCTGCCTGCCTGCCAATCAGCTGGGAGGGGTCTCAACGGGAGGGTTTGAGATGGCCTGGGCCAGGCTTTGGAGAACATGCAGAGCAGAGAGCAATTAGGAGGGGCAGCATGCATGATGACCTCCAAGATGAGCAGGGGACCAGCTGTGCTCAGGAACCAGCCTGTCCAGGTCCAGCGTGGAGCATGCTGAGCTCCAGCCCGTGGCGAGCGACCCAGCAGGAAGGTGTGCTGCCCCCACTGTGTCCTCCATGGCAAGTGACCCAGGAGGAAAATATGTCACCCCCACTGCATCCTGCGGGCCCCTCCCCTGGCTCACTTTCCTATTGAAGTCTCCTGCCAGGAACTGTCTGCCACCACTTCGAATCCTTTCCTGCACGTGGCCTAATCCCTTTGCCCTGAGTTACATGGGTGCCAGGCCTGAATTCTTCAAAACTCTCCCAGGGAAAATGTCATCTCCAACGAAAAGATGCCATGAAGCCCCGTTGGGCCTGGCTCCCCATCACAACTCTCCCCTGCTGCAATATCCTGTCCAAGGATCAAAACTGGGGGTCTGCGCCATCCACCACCAGAGGGGTCAAGAGAAACAAGCAGGGCAGGGACACAGCCTCCCATGGGTCCCTAGGGGGACACCAGGCCCAGTCCACTGCTCACCTCCACCCCTCTGCTCTCCTCACTCTCTGTTAAGAGCCAAGCCCACCCCACCTCACTGCCTCTGCTCTCCAAGCCCTGGCTGTGCTGTGTCCAGGGAGGCTGACCACTCTGGGGCTGTGCCAGTGAGCTCCCTCCCGGCAGGGACTCAGTTTTGCAACGGTTTATTCCTTCCTCTACCTTTGGGCAAAACTCAGGTGAAGTCTCCCAAGCCACAGGTTTCCTTGCCAGGTTCTGGAAGCGTCTCCTCTCCCCTTGGGTCCAGGGGGCTCCTGGGCCCCTCTACCCCTTCTTGGTTCCCCCGAGTGTCACCTGCATTTGTGGGACCCTGTCACAACACCCTTAAGGCCCCACCTTAAAATAGCCTCCCAGGCCCACACTAACTTCTCATAGTGGCCTCTTAAATCTTTTAACCTCTACCACAGTGGAGGGAAATTGGGATTTGACTGCCAGGCAAACTGAGGGGTGGTTCTTTGCTGTACAAAGTGTTCACATACTGGAAGAACCTCTGGTGGTAAGGTGTGGCCTAACTCCTACAGCCCACTGGCAATCAAAGACCAAGAAGGAGGGACGTCCTGTTTATTTATAGCATGTCCTCTCTGCTAGGCCCTTAAGTTCATGATCTCACCTAATCCTGTAATTCTTCGAGGCAGTTTACATTGTCTCTCCATTTTACAGTTTGGGAAACCAAGGCTCAGATTCATAAAAGGACTTGCCCAAGGTCAATGAGTTCGTAAGTGGTGAAGGGTAGAATCCAGGCTATTTAATTCCCAAGCCTGTGATTTTTCTGACCGTGAGCTGTGGGTGTACAGGCACTAAGAGCCCCCGAGAGTCAATAGCAGTGTGGTGCCTGCACAAGCTGGAACTGTCCTTGTGATGAGCCCATCAGGAGCGGCCTGGGTTCAGTGTCACCCTCCACATCTGCAGCACAGAGTCCCGGCGGGTGGTGTAGGGTAAATGTTTGATGCGGAACCAATGTCTGGGGACGACGTTACCGCTGGGCGTATATAGCTTCTCCCCTTCCCTGCCCAAAAGACTGCGCAGGGCCAGGTTGCCTGACAGAATCTTCTCATAGAACTGCACTCCACCCTGGGCATAGGCTGCAGAGAGGGAGGCTGTGCGGCGGTCCTGCCAAGCTTCCAGGGAATGAGTGAGAGAGTCTGTGAAGAAAGCATAGGCCACAAAGCCTACCACTGCTGCCACCAAGTTGAAAGCAGCCCGTAAATTCATGGGGCCTCCATAGAGCCCCAGGGCATACTTGGCACCCACGCCCAGTGCCCAGGTCCCTGCCAGGCAAGCTGGGGCCAGCAGAGCCTGCAGGGCAGCTGCACTGCTTTCCAGGTACACCACCTCCCTGGCCAAGGCGAACTTCTGGGCGTCATGTGACAGGGTCAGGGAATCTCTCAGCCTGGCACCTGCTGGGGTCTGCCAGTTTACTCTTTGCCCGTGTACGACCACAGTATGGTCAGTGTTGGTCACTGGGCCCCCCAGGAAGCTGGCAGGGATGCCCACCACAGCCCCAGCAGGGAGTTTTGGGAAGCCTGCAACCACAGGCTGGAAGGTGAAGGCGGTGAAGGGCTTATAGCGATGGCCTGAGGGGACGCCTATGTCCTGTAGCACCTCTTGGAAGAGGTGTTGCAGATTTGGAGAGAGCGGGGCTGGCTGGCCCTGAGGCCAGTACTGGTACAGCCACTGGACCACGGGGTCTGGGAAGAGGTGGTACGAGATCTGCACCCCAAACAGGCCTGCGCAGGAACCTACCAAGAGGCCTGTCCTGTGTCTTTGCACAAATGCTGCAGCCCACCACAGGGGACGAGCCATGAGTGCTGCCACCGCTGACAACCTGTGCCAAGAAAAAGAAAAGTCAGCCAACAGTTCTCTGGGCCTGCCTGCAGACTCAACATCCTCCAAGGGCTGCACCCTTTTTAACTGAAGCAATACAGCACTGCCTGTGCATAGACTGCCTGTGTTCAAATCCCAGCTCATCTCCGTGCATCACTTCCTCATCTGCCAAACAAGCATGTGACAACTGCCCATCTCTAGGGTTGCTGAAGTACATGAATGAACATGCACACAACAGTTAGTGTCTGGCACAGCAGCAGACATCCCTTGTGGTAACGGCTGTAATTATTACTTTTATTCCCATGGCCAGGCACAGCACTAAGTGTGCTCCACCACTCATCCCATGATAAAGCCCTACCATATGTTCAATTTATTGAGTACTTACTATTAATACACGCTAGACACAGTTTGAGAGCTTTACATATCTTATCTAACAAGTGAATCCTCACAATCCCATGACCTAATTACTACTATTGCCCCTATTTCAAAGCTGTGAAAACTGAGGCACAGGCAAAGTAAACTGCCCAAAACCCCAAAAGCTAGTAAAGTGGCAGTATTATGGCCGAATTGTGCACCCCCAAATTCTTATGTTTAATTCCTAACCCCAGTACCTCAGACTGTGACTGTATTTGAAGACACAGTTCTTTTTTTTTTTTTGAGACAGAGTCTCACTGTGTTGCCCGGGCTAGAGTGCCATGGCGTCATCCTAGCTCACAGCAACCTCAAACTCCTGGGCTCAAGCGATCCTACTGCCTCAGCCTCCCGAGTAGCTGGGACTACAGATATGCACCACCATGCCCGGCTAATTTTTTCTATATATTTTTAGTTGTCCGATTAATTTCTTTCTATTTTTAGTAGAGACGGGGGTCTCACTCTTGTTCAGGCTGGTCTCGAACTCCTGAGCTCAAACAATCTGCCCGCCTTGGCCTCCCAAAATGCTAGGATTACAGGCATGAGCCACCACGCCCAGCCAACACAGTTTTTTTTTTATTTTTTCATGTCAGATGGGTAATGTGCCGACGCCGTAACAAGATTTGAGGGAGGCACATCTCACGCATGCGCGTGAAAGCCCAATCATCACATTTATGAACTACAAAAGGATCGGAGACAAGAGTCTTTAAAGAGGTAATTTAAGGTTATTAGCCTAGGTTCTAATCTAACCTCACTGGTGTCTTATAAGCAGAATTAGCATACAAACACAGAGGGAAGATCATTTGAAGATCCAAGGAGAAGACAACCATCTACAAGCCAAGGAGGGAGGCCTCAGAAGAAACCAACACCTTGGTCTTGGACTTCTAGCCTCCAGAACAGGGAGAAAATAAATTTCTGCCAGCTAGGCCACCACCCAGTCTGTGGTATTTTGTTATGGCAGCCCTAGGAGACGACAACAAGCACAGTATTTGAACACAGCAAATTTCATTTTAGAAAATCTGTTATGCTAAATTACAAACTAAATTAAAATATACAAAAGCAGACAAAATAGTGCATCAACCAACTTCAATTATATCAACTCATGGCCAATCGTGTTTCATTTCTCTTCCCACCCACACCCCCATCCCACTATTGCCCCTATTTTAAAGCTGCGAAAACCTGCACAGGCAGGTTAGGTAAACTGGCCAAAACCCTGAGCTAGTAAAGTGGCAGTGTTATGGCCGAATCGTGCACCCCCAAATTCTTATGTTTAATTCCTAACCCTAGTACTTTGGGATATTTTGAAATATCCCAAGCAACCTATCATTTCATCCGTGACTATGTCCGTAAAAATTCACAATTATTTAACTTTGACTGGCTATCTGTATCCCTGTCTGTGAAAAGTGTTTACTTAGCAATGAAGATGCCGCGAACAAGAACGCAGGGTACCGCTTGGCCTATTTTAATCAAGAACTCCTACAAGAATCGTATTATTTGGGCTTTTTTTTTTTTTTCCAACGCAGAAACTGAAGGTAGGAAAGGAAGGATCGGTCCTTCCGGGGCAAGGTCCCAACACGCCAGGGCCGCCAGGACCACCGGCACCAAGACGGCGCTCTGGGCTAGGTCTCGGAGGCAGTGCCGAGCAGCCCGCAAGGGGCTGGGCCACAAGGGTCCCCGCTACGCTTCTACCCCGGGTCCCCTAGGCTGCTCCGTAGTCCGAGCGCGCTCCGGGCAGGAAGCCGGAGAGGGGTCCAGCCCGGTTGCCGGAAAGGGGTCCGGCCCAGCGGGACTGCGCGCACAACCGCCCGCTCCGCGAGCTCACCTCCTGCGCCGCCGCCCGGACGCCGCCGCACGTGCGTGGGGCGGCAGCCGCAAAGCATGCCGGTCCAGGCCCTGGCGGGGACCTCAGGGGCGGGGCCGGGCCAGAGCTCGCGGGCCCGGGATGGGGGGCGGGGACCAGGGGCTGGCTGGGGGCGGGGCCCTGGGGCGGGGCCGATAGCGCGAGGAGGAGCCTGCGGTTTCTCAGGCCGGCGACGGAGGCCCCTCCGCCAACTGTGCACTTGGGCGGGGTCTGCGCCCCACGACTGCGCAGGCCGGGGATTGAGCGTCGCAGGCTGGCGCTTCCTTCTCTGCACTTGAAAGGCGTCTTTGGTCATCCCGTCTAACTCTCGAGGGAACCGCGGTCCTGCGTGGATCAGAGGGCGGCCTATGGCAGAGGCCCCAGCGGAGCCCAGGCACATGGGCCTGCCAGGCCCGTGTCCTTTCCCGTCTGGAAGTGCGGGGGGCTCAGAGCTTTATGTTTGTAACCACGTCCGCTACCCCCAAGACTCCTCCCAAGTGCTCCCCACTGGACAGTCAATTCTTCGCAGCAGGTTTGTGATTTGGCCTGTGCGCCAAATCCAGCTCGCCAAGTGCTTTTGTAAATAAAGTTTTATTGGAACAAACCACGCCTATTCCTTCACCAGTTGTCTGCTTTTTTGCTAGAAGAAAAGAATTCAGTAGCTATGACGGAAATAGTCTGGTCCAGAAAGCCTAAAATATTTACTCTGTGGCCCTTTACAGATAAATGTGTGGACCCCTGAAATAAGACTAGATTATCCCGATTTTACCGACGAGGTAACAGAAATGGAGCTTGAGCACAGTGCCCGGCTAGTACGCACCAGAGCAGGGTGGGACTGCATCCCTGTGCATTTCCATGACCACTCCCGCCTCGGTACAGATTCTCTCTGGTGGGGCTTGCCAGTCTCCCAGGTGGGTCTGGGCTGTGTGTGGCTTTCTTTTCCATTCCAGCCCCCAGGGAAGGGGTAAGAAGGGCTTATCTCCCGCTGGAAAGGTGAGGACTAAGGAAAGATGAGGATGTAAGGTGATCTGGAAGTGTGTGCGCATTGGGTTTGGGCTTTGGAAGGTTAGTAGCCTGTGGGCCACTGCGCCTCCAGGAAATGCCCAGTGTAGCCCTCCGGTCCCAGTCACAGAAGGACCCGTGGCAGGGAGTCAGTCAGGGGCTGACCAGCCAGACCACGCCTGATTCCCAGCAGATCCCCTGTGCCCTTGAGTTTCCTGTGGGGGCTGCATTTCCTGCTTCAGGTTTGGCCCAGCAGCCCCTTGTGGAGTCATGGGCTGGTGAGGCAGAGAGAACCGTGCTGGGGAGAACCTGGGAGAGAACCTGGACTCCGTGCGGCTGTCCCCCAGACCCTGGCCAGTCCCTCAGCCCAGAATCGGTGCTTAGAAAGACTGCAGCTCAGGGAAAGAGACCTTGCTTAGGAGGCAGGGGGACCTCAGGTAAGGGTGTCATCTCTAAAGTGAAGATAATTATGTGTCTCGAAGAGCCCTGTTACACTCTACTGCTAGGAAAATAGCTACCAGCCCTAGAAACTCATTCGTATAACGAAGGGGGGCGGGAGGCGCTTCCAATCACTTGCCCCAGAAAAGGAAGATCTGACCTTGGGTCTTTCCTTCAATCTCAGCGTTGAAAAGCATCCTGTCATAAAGGGCTTCTGTGACAAGATGCAAATCTCACAACAGGGAAGAGTACAGAAGCTGGAACCAGACTGCCAAGGTTAAATCCTGGCTCAGTCCCTTACTAGCTTGTACCTTGAGCAAATTAGCCTCTCTGGGTTTAGTGTTCTCATCTGTATAATAGGGGTAATAGTACTACCTTCCCCCTAGGGTTGTTGTAGGGGATAAAATGAGTTCATGTATGTATAGCGCCCAGTTTGTGCCACCTAGCTATTAGCTATTATTATTAAGGTCTGCTCTGTTTCCGAGATCCCAACTTTGGCCGCTCAGTTCTTTGTATGTAAACGGTACAATGTGATCTCAGCCAAATCCAGAATGTGGGACATTGTACGAGGCAAAAGGCATGGTTCATCCAACGTATCGATGTCATAAAAAAAAAAACAAAACAGGAGAAGGGCTCCGATAAAATAAAAGAGATTCGAGAGACATGGCAGTTAAATGCAATATGTGACTTTTATGGGGCCCCTGAATCAACTGTAAAAAAGACATCTGTCAACCTAAAATAATCAAAAAGGTCAGAATCTAGTTTAAAGAGGGTTTATTCAAGTGTAAAGGTTGAGGACTGAAGCCTGAGACAGACTTCGGAGTTGCTGTGAGGAGTGCTCTGAAGAACAAGAGAGGCTCAAGTTTTTAAAGAAAAAAAGGACTAATCGGGAGAAGGGTGATTACAAAAGTTGCTCATCAGGAATTCTTATTGGTTTACAGAAATAGCATTGGTTAGTGATCGGCTGCACACTGTCGAACTATAGGGTGTATGGCATTTTATGGCTACTTGTCATTAGTTAGTCTAGAGCTGGAATAGCAAGTGGCTTCAAGAAGTAATTATTTAGCTCAAGGGGGATTGAGATGTGACTATTGTTACATTTTAGATGACTTTCTGGGCCTGATAATTTAAAAGGGCTCACATTCTTCAGGTAAACAGGTTTTTTCTTTCTCACACTTTTGAGACAATTGGAGAAATTTGAATATGGATTGCATGTTATATGCTATTAATAAATTATTGCATATTTTGTCAAGTGGGATGATAGCCTGAAGTTTATGTAAACCAAAAG